TGCTGTACCTAGACAGGGTATAGGTGTACTTCTCAGTCCTTATTGCTGCTTCTAGAAAATGCCCCCTACTCCCAGTATCACAAAAGTTTTAGAGATCACATATCCTCAATATATACTGCACATTTCGAGATGTCTAAAAATGAGTGAGGGTGCAGTCTTCTCCAGGTCCAGGTAATTAAAGTGTTCATTGTCTGCAGAGAATTAAAAAGCTATAATAAAACAAACAACGAATGCCAGTATGTTTTTTATTACCACCATGCTCCTGCAATTCTAAGTATTTACACCCTTGGGTACATCAATGCATACTACTCTTTCTTGTTGAAGGTATCTACCAACTCCTAGGTTGCTCCATTCATTTATTTATTATTTAGCTCTAGGCTCACTGTCAGTCTCTCCAACATGACCTCTTGTGTTAATTTTTCAAGATTATATCCTTCAAGTGGGTCATCTTTCCATACATTGACGTCTCAGTTTGACCTCTACTTCAGCGATCTTGTCTCCCATCACTTTAGCCATCCAATTCCATGGATGGATGGCTCCACTAGTCCTTTTCATTTACTAGTAATGGTGACATGTCCATAATCTTAATTTCAAGCATCCCACTCTCATAACTATGACCTATGTTTCCAACTCCTTATGACAATTTTATCCAATCATACTACTTTTGAACTATCCTTCAAATGTCTTCCTTCTTCAATTTTAAATTTCTAGGCCCTCTCCCTGCAGTATGGGTTGTGCAGAGGAGATAATTCTTAAAGGATTAACCCTCAACCAACAGGGTATAGGATGTCCCAGCTTCCTTGTCCTTCAGTGGATCAGATCTGATATCCATTTTCCATAGATCTTCAGAGGGTCCCTTAGAGAGACTGGGCTCCAGTTTTCTAGACTGGAAAATGGCTTAAAAACATAATATTTTTTAAAATTTACTTACTTATTTTAACCTTCCTTGTTTCACTGTTCTTAATTCCTCACTTCTGCTTTCTAGGATTCCCTAACAACTAAACTACCTGCATGAAATTCTTGTCTCTGTCTCTGTCTTTAGGGAATCCAAATTAACCAACTATGAATGAACTGTCTTTATTTCTAGTGAAAGTCAACCCCTCCACTTGGGCACCAGGACACATTCCCCTTGTCTACTCAGGGACGTCGCTGCAATGATTCACCCTTATCTCCTTCATCAGTCTCCCTCTTCTCTGCTAATAGATATTTCCATTTTTCTTTCTACCTAGTGTTTGATTTCTTCCTTCTCTTAGAGTCACACTCAGGGGAAGGGCTTTTAAAAAAACATTTGTCTTGAATTCTCCCTCTCTTCTTTCTTAAATAGAATGTAATCATTTTAGTTGCCTCTCTTCCTCCATATTTTAGCTCTACTTCCACATTCCCCCAAAACAACTGCTCTTGAGAAGGTCACTTGTGACTTTCTTGTTGCTAAATTCAGGAGTCAAATCTCAGTCTTCATTTTCTTGATAGACTCAGAGGGAGGCTATTTAATCTTCACCTGTTTTCCTTAAGTCCCCACATCAGCAGGGCTCTGGTGCTACTAGACTTCATCCTTCTGAGGCTGACCTTGGGCCATTCCTCCTGGTCTCAAGAATGAAGGGTCAACTACGTTTAGAGTGTGGGGAGAGGAAAGGGCTAAATAGAAATATTTCTTCTGACCTATATTCTCCCTGCTTCTTTTGGCCACCTATGGCTTTGACTTTGAGTCCTCTTCTTCTACCAACCTCTCAATTCTCTACATTTCTACCAGTTTATGGTAACTTTATGGTGGAATTCAGGTTCCTTAGGGATTTTTTTTTTTACAAAAATTTGTTGTTCATTATTATAATCTATGATTCTCCCTGGTTTCCATAGTTTCCTCAGGTTTAATCTTGAGGAAGGAGTCAGCAGCCCAAATTAATTGTCAATCTTAATGGGAACTTTGAACTAAAGGGTTAAGGTTAACTCAGAAGGCTTGGGTTGCTCAAATTCTGCACATTTATATCTGGTTTTTCCTGGACTTTGTCTATGTGCCTTTTCACTTCGCTGAGATGGATCTTGTCAATTGAAAAAAAATGCACAACCTAAAAGTTGAGAATTATGTTTCATTCAGTGGACATACCGAGGACTTAAGCCTGGGAGACAGCTCTCAGATCACTCTGAGAGACTGCTTTGAAGAGGTAGGGGAGGAGCCAGGATATATAGAAGTTTTTGTAAAAACCAGGTAGTGGGAATATCAAAAGATTACTGTTAATTGAAGAAAACCAGACATCTTAAGTTAATGAATATAGTGCTTTTCTGTATATGGGAAGATGCAAGAGTCTGGACTCAATGAAATCATTCCTTTGATAGAACAATGATATAACTTTGATATAACTCTAAGGCCAGTATCCTGTTTTTCTCTATCCTGAATCCCCTCAGGGTACATAGCTGGAGGTGGCTGCAGTGGCTGATGGCTTGATGGCCTCAACATCCTTTGTTTACTGATATGACAGGAGAAATTTTTCATACACAATCTGTATTATTTTACTGTAATTAACTGTAACCATGATTGTAACACCATTTCAGAGTCCTGAAAGTCCTTCAAGTGAATCAGACAACACGAAGATGATCTTGGGGGCCCTGAAGCAGAACAAGATATCTCTAACAAGGGTATAAAAGGATTGGGATTTGGGAGAGTAGTATCAAAGATGTGAGGAGGATTCGTTTAGCAAGAGCTGTGCTGTGACATCCACTCACTCAAGTCTAGTGAGAAGACTTTACCAGGATTCCTAGGGGAACTTCATATGCATCTCCTAAAATGCGGCTGTCCTAGTGGATCAGTGCTTGTCTCCCTCTTGGGAGACATGATCTGGTTACTGGCCTGGTGGTGGGAGTGACAGTGAAGGTTGTGCTGTGCAAAGCTTGACCTGTACGCTCCAAGTTTGTTGGAAGTAACAGTGCGTGTGTGCTTTCTGTGTACAATATGGGCCATGCCACTCAGCCAGCCAGCCAGCCAGCCAGACAGACACACACACACAGAGTGAGAGAGAGACAGAGAGACGCATAGAGGGAGAGAGGCAGAGGCAGCATGGGGTTTTCTGAGTCCTGTCTGGGAGGGCTGAACATAGGAACAAGGAAACTTTAGCAAAGGAGAAAATTATATGCAATTTCTAATAGACCAAACTGAGAAGCTTGCCTTAACTGGACTAACGGGACTTCAGTAAGAGATCTCTGAAAAACCCCACCAAATACACAGTAAAATTTAAATCCATGACGAGTCTGGGGAGTACAAAGTCAATTTAGCAAAATGCCTATCAAGCAAGGTTTTTTCTGCTTTACCTTTCCTCCCTTCCCATCTGTCCTGATGGAATGTGATCAGAAACCCTGATGGGTGAGATGAGGAGAGGTCTGAAGCATAAGGCAGGAAAAGAGAGAAGAATCACAGCCCTCTTCCCTGACCTGCTGCTGGATACAGGCCCAGGGAGGGTACATCGGAGAAGACTTCACTTCTGTTGATTTTCTGTTGACTTTCAGACTAGATATTTTCAATAACTGTATTGAAACTGAATTGTGATTAAACCATAGAACTTTTAGTTGCGTAAGATTGATCAAAAAAGTTTAGTACATGGAAGTTTTCATCCAGGGGCAGGTAAGAAACTTTTCTCACTAAATATGTTCCAGACAGTTGTTGAGAGAAAAAAACAAAAAATAAAAGTAACAGCAAAAAAAAATCCCCACATTGTTTTACTCTGACACCCAGGAGTCTAGCCTATAGATATTTGTTAAGACGATCGTTCAGGTTTTAACTTGCAATCTTTCCTCCCCTATGGGATGACAGAAACTCTTCAACAGGAATGACTCAGGCAAAATACAGTGTGCGTTTTTTGGTTTTTCTTTTGTGATACTGAGCAGTATTTTTGTTTGTGCTCTTTTGGTTTTTAATTGCTGATCCTTTGCCCCAATGAATACAGTAGCACTGAGGTCAGAAGGGTGGACTGATATGGGCCATTTGTATCATATCCTCTTCACCAGGGTCCTATTGTCTAATTGACATACCTGCCCTGCACTTACATTGGATGCCTCTGGCATGATCTGAGCGTCAAGTTTGCAGAAAGGCCTTAGGCCCTGTCCCTGTCAGAGAAGAAACGGAGATGAGCAAGACTTTAGGACTTGCTCTCCAACTCCTTATTTCTTCCTAGAAGTGCATGCTCTTGGGGAGTAAAGCAACCACCCTGAGCAGGACAGTTGGATGATAATGGTCTTCTGTCTTAATGAAGGGGGAAAGGATGCTAAGAGATGGATTTGACAATGTGGTACCACATGAGGCATTACAAGTACTGGATTTTTCAGAAGATTTACAGAATTAAGAAACATTCTGAAAGATAGGAACTGTGCTCCCCTCCCCCCCTCAAGGAGTGAGCTGTGAGCTTAGTTTAGCCCTTATCCCTTGGAAGAGGTGAACAGGACATGTCCTCCATTAGCAGAGCAAATTCCAAAAATCTGCCAAGGCGGTAGGAAACAGTTGGAAGAGAAAGACAGGCCATGGCAAGGAGGCTGTTACTATCGTAAATTTCCTAGGTCCCTCACATGGAAAGAGTTGACCCTGCTATTTTTTCTGGCAAGTAGAGACTATGAGGGTTTTAATATTCCAATACTCTTCTAAGTAGGGTGGGTTGAAGTGGAGCTAAAATCATTGGACTTTGCGCCCTCTAGTCAAATACTAATTCTCAAACTTGATTTGTCAGTGGCAGGTAGGGCCACACAAATAAAATGTTTTTAAGTTTAATTATATCAATAAAGCCACAAGCACCATGTGTACATATTCAGACTGATAGTTACTGTTCTTTTCCTATATTAACCATTTAAGTAAGATAATTATTTGCCATTCTGTGACATTTAATTACAATGCTATGACTAATCTACATAGTTTGAAGGCAAAAATTGCTTTATATGTCATTTAGGATTTGTATGAACATATTTAAACTGCAGAAAAGATTGCTTGGAAAATGCAGAGGTGGCTCCCAAGAGCTCTTGATTACCTTCTGTATCAAGATCATTTTTTAAAAATTGGCTATATGATTGCCGCATAATTTCAAGGTGACCACCTGTCAAAGAGCTTCTGGGAAAAAAAAGGCAAAACACCTCTCTGTCTTATTTGTGCATTTATTTTTATAAACATTTCTAATTTTCCAGAGGGTATGATGGGCTAAAATTTTAATGGGATTGTAACAGTTAGCAATGAGTAAATAACATGAATTCTTAGTTGATGTAAATTTTATGCCAGGTTTGAGTGATGAAGGCAAAAACTATCATTGAGACTGGAAACACATTTATTAGCAGATGTTCAGTTGTGCAGGACAAACCTACATGAATAACAAAGCTTGCCTTATTTGCACTGAGAGCTCTCAATTTCTTCTTTTCCCAGGAAGTGCATTGTACTCTGGACTTAGTTGAGTCATAATTAAGCTGTACTAAGAAAACATTCAAGTGACAATAATTTGCAAATGATCAAATTATTGTGGGCTTAGCTTAGGGCTTCACCAGCTGGAGTTCTTTCTCTGTTATAACCATATGTCTGTTAATAAATTTGATTCAAATGTAAAACAACTGCAGATATTTTAGAGACTGGGCAGAACAATTAAAAACAAATAACATTGTTCTTGTGACTTGGTCTTCAAACGAATGAACAAACCAAAATGATGATGCCAAATGCTACTTGGATAATGATTACAACATGAGAAAAAGCGGCAGTTAGCATGTTTTAAATCTAATTGCCTCAGATATTATGTGTCGACTCATCACACAGGATGGCTTAAAAGAATGGCACTTAAAACATAGTAGGTACCGTGCAGATTTCAAAGGAATCCCCTGTTATCTTCCTAAGTTTACTTCATAAATGTTTCAATGAACGTGAAGAGGGATGATCATTAGCAAAGCGGAATTACAGAGTAAATCACTTGGGGGCAAAATACTGTACTTGTCTTATAAAAGAGTAACGGTCTTGGTAAAGGTGAAGATGAAAAAGGGAATTTCTGGAGCTGCTCTTTTAAAAGGAACTATTTTTAGCAGGAGAAAAGGCTTCATCATTCCAGGAATTTGTTAATTCCCTCTTTTCTTTAAATCTGCTCTTTGAGTTCTTTGAGATAACACTATTTGCAATGTTCCACTCTCTCCTAGCATATATCCCCATTTAAATTGTCTGGGAGAGTTGGCTACAGCTCTGTACCATCTTTATAAATTCATGATCTTACTAAAAAGGATGTTACTGAAACTGCTGACCTCTCCCATCCCCATCTCACAACAACACTCTCCTGACAGCAGTATTAGCAAAATTGTAAATCTAGTAAAGAACATATTAATATGGAAAGGTCAGTACATGTCAGAAATGGTAAAGTGTGGATAACTGATAGAAAATTACAAATTGGGAACTGCTTTGAGGAAGGCAAAATACACCTTGGCTGGTTCAATATATTTGAATTTCTGAAAATTTGATTAATGACATGAATCATTGCGAATCTTTTGGAAACTAATAAAATCATTTACTCCTCTTTGTGGGCCTACTTCTTCTACCTCTTTATTCCTTCATGTCACAAACTGATTCGTTCCCTTCCTCAGATTTCTTTTATACAGTAAAATTCTTATTTTCTCTTTGTAGAAAAACAGTATGGTTTCTGGAAGGAGTAGTTATTGTTTACCTAATTACCGGAATTTTTTGAGGGGTAAATAGATATGTGAGGGAAGAAACAGTTTGTAAATACTGAAGAAAACTTAGTTCTATTTTTAAAAAAATAGCTGTATGTATAGGTGTATAAAACAATATAAAATTACTTGTCATCACAAGAGCAGCCTGTGGACACAGTAAGTACTTAATAATTGTTTTTGAACAAATTATTTCTGATTTTAGAAACTAAAGGCAAGGATGAATGGGTACTTCCCTGGGTGAGAGAAATTAACAATTGTCTATTTCAAGAATAAACACTGCTGTTCTTATTTTGCATTTTTAATGATCTGAAAGAGGGACAGCCTAGTGAGAACTCCACAATTTAGATGCTGATAATCTCCTCCAAGTAGTCAGCAGCTAGCCTCTGGGGACAAACCTCTGGGTTCTGCAAGGTAATTAGAACCTTACTGCTACATTGGGATCTTTGCATGTTCAGGTTAATTTTCTCATTTGTCCCTTCTTTAGAATAACTGTTTGAAATTTGATGATCCTGGCAGGACAACAGTTGTTGTTTTTTAACAGATTAAAAAAAAAAAAACTGAGGCTCTGAGAAGCAAAAGGTTTGCCAAGTTCATTCACCTAGTAAGTGAAAGAGGTTGGACTGAAACAAAGGGCATTTGACTCCTGGTGCAAGGTTGCCTAACACAACAAAGGCATTAGAAGCCAAAAATTGTAGACGTTCACAAATGATTTTGATAAATCCTTAGATGTCAGACACATAACAGATGAGTAAAGGTCATCATGTGTTCTTAATACCCATCTTCTCCTTCTTCAGGCTAACGTCATGGAGGGCAGCCATGCAATCCCCTATAAAACCCTTTGCCATCACTGTCAGAAACGGAGTCCTGGACTCCAGGCCCATTGGCTTGTCCCAGTGAGCCCTTTCTCAAGTTCTTATCTTTTGGATACAGAAGCATATTACTAGGGAGTGTGAAGGGAAAGTTGACTTTAATCTTAATTGCCTGCATAACAGTATTTTTAAAAAGATCTCACTCTGTAAAATATAAAACCTTACCAACATCATAGACGTCAGGCATCCCAGGGCAGAGCAAAGGTTATTAGAAAAGAAAAGCCAAGCTTGCAGTTACTCTGTCTTCTCTTCCTCTGAATTTGCCATCAAAATACGGATGCACTTCCAAGCAGACCATAGCCAGATTACAGAAAGCAGTCTGTGCAACTACTCTATCCCTGCTTAATGTACATGCCAGGACAGGTCAGGTACTTATCAAAATGTTATTTCATTTTTTTTCTTCCTTGATTTTAGAATGTTCCTCTAAAATATTTGTTCAAATAACCTGTATGTCAAAACAGCTCAACGCAGACTGTGAATGCGATTCATATGACTTTTTGTATGACGGATGTTTTGTTAATCAACATTTTAATTTTGCAATGATTATGCCATGATCAAACCAGTTACCTGACCCTGTTAGGGGGTTATTCAATTCTAGGAAAATAACTATGAAGCTGAAATCATGGTTTCCAGTATTGGAGGATCTCATGTTTTTGTTAGCCAGGAAAAGGCGAATACAACCTGGCTTCGTTAGATAGTACTTATATTCTGATGTTTATATACTGAAGTATTCTAAATCTAAAGTAATAGCATGTTATGTTTTTGGTTGCTTGTTTGTGCAATAATTTGTGATTTAATGTCATCAAAGAAATGATGTACAAAAACACATTTCATTCCTAATTGTTTGTGGAGGTGGCATGGTGGAGGGGTGGGGGCGGTGATACACGGTTCGGGGTTGGCTTTACATGCAGACAGCTGACGTGATTCAGAATGTTATGGTTTCCACTCCTGAACAGAGAGTTCATGACTAACATCTGTGCAGCAGAAACTGAAATTTCTAGGGCCTATGTTGGGTTTTAAACATTTTCTACGTTTCAGTGGTACAAGCTATTTTTCAGGCATATAATAACTTCTCATACATTTCCAAGTAGCTGAGAAAAGTGATCAAAATACAAAGTCCATAACACGTTAAATGTCTACTCACACATATATTCCAGTGCACATGTGCTTTGGAGCCAGAAAATTTGGATTTGAGCCCTGGCTAGTTCTGCTGCTTATTTTGCTTGTCATCTTGGGCAAGTTCTTTTAGGGCTCACATTCTTAGTTTCTTCATCTGTAAAATGTGAAAATAAAATCTGCCTGGATTAACCTCATATGCTAATTACCTAGCAAAATTTTTGACAATAAAAAATCATTATTAATAGTATTATTTTTATTGACACTTAATATAATACATATGTAAATACTCTGAAAACTTTAAAACACTGTGCAGTCATTGCTATAATTTTTATTTCAAATACTGTTCATATCAATATGTACAAGAATATACACAGAAATTTACTATATATATTTATATTTAAAACATTTTAAACCTAAGTTTTACAGCATCAAGTGAAATTATTTTTATTTATTTTTATAGGTGTATACAATAATTTATTGTTTAATAGAAGTGGAATTTCAAATCAGTAGGTCAAGAAGAGTTTATCAATAAGTGGTACTAAAACAAATAGCCATCTTTTTGGAGGAAAAAAGTGATTGGATCCACTGCCCCACACCACATGTCCAAATACATTCCATGAGGATTACAGATTTAAATGTCTTTAAATATAATATATTTAAAAGGAAAATTATAAAATCTGCCTATAACCTAGAATTTGAAGATTTATTTTTAGGCAAGATGGGAAATCCAGGTTGAAAAAAAAACAACTACTCTGGCTACATAAAAATGAAATGTTTTGTACAATAAAAAAGAAATATTAACATAGCAAAATAGATACATAAAACACATTCGATGATGCACCTGAACACTCTCGGTAAAACTGTGTTACTAAATCGGTGCTTTAAAAGATCTTTATTAACCCCACAAAGGCCATCCACTGAAAACTACAACAAGCATAATTACCAGAGTAACTTTAGAGCCATTCTGAATAAGGGAAGAATGCCTGGAATCAGCACTATTTCAGAGAAAAAAAAACCCCACAGAAATAAATATTTGAAACAAACAAAAAAAATTACAGAACATGTCATTACACTGAAAACACAAAGGAATCAAAGATTAGAGTTTAGCATGGTGTCCAAATAAAGACCTAAAGACCTCTGAGTGAATGGAGGAAATGGGCTGTCTCACGGATTCCCGGGCTTGTAACCCGGCGCAATCACTACCGAGGCTCTAGAACCGTGGGACAGGCGGTTGGAAAATCTTTTGTTGTGTGGGCTCTGGGGTGAGACCCCATACCCTGCTGGTCCTTCCAGGGTCCAAACAAGCAAGTCAGCTCCCACCTCCACTGCTGCCCCAAAGTACGGGCCCTGCCGCCTGCCTGGAGTCCCGCCTCCATACCTGGTTCTAGAAGGAAACAGGTCCTCAGGCCTCCTGCGGTCCCCAGCCCCCGAGCCTAGGAAGCCCGGGCCGTCCACATCCAAGCAGGAAGACCGTCGGAGGTGATTCAGCTCGGCTGCGGGCGCCGGCGCCGGAGCCGCCCCTTTGACGGCGTCGGGCTGGAGGCCGCGGTGACGTCACCCCGTCGGGCTCCTTCCTGCGGCGCGCGCTCGGCCACGTGGAGCGGGTCAGGTGGGTCACGGTCCCCTGGAACAGAGGAGATTCTTTTCCCCGTGGATTCAGATCACAAAGGTCACAGTGGAAGGTTTGGAATAGGGGAGCACAGAACATGAAAATACGGCGCAGATGCACTCTTACTGCTGTTCACAATCAGGCTGAAGGCGAGGGCACACGTCCAGGTGGACATGAGCGAAGGGCAAGGTCTCCCTAAAGAAGCCCTTGGAGGCCAGGGTCAAATTTGTCCTTTAACGCTCTGCTTACATCCCAGAACCTTCCCTTCACGCCGGCCTCACCAAGTAGGGACTGAACTACAGGACGACCAACGAACGTGACTTGTCCCTAGAGGCATGGAGCCGCGGAGTCACAAGGATTAAAAAAGGCCTCGGCGCACCAGTGAAGCTCCGTCCACTCCCTCCCTCGGCCTTGTGGCCGGGCTCGGGAATTCCACCGGCAGGCTAAGCTCAAACGTTTCAGGTAAGGTATTTGCAGTTTCTCCCCACGTAGGGGGCTTGAGGGTTGGCTCAGGCGACCCTAGCGGGGGGGCTGGATGCAGAAACCTATTTTTATTTATAAATATAAATATAAATATGTATATGTATATATACATATTTAATATCATTTAGCCTGTTATAAATATAAATATAAATATGTATATGTATATATACATATTTAATATCATTTAGCCTGTGACTATAAAATTACTAGTCTAGGAATCTTGCTCTATGATCTTGGGCAAGGCATTTTTCTTTTCTGACCTGAACAGCTTTTTTTTTTTCCATTTTATCCATTAAATAAAGATTAAAACGATTTGTATCATACATTTGTGGGGAGAATTAAATGCAGCAAGAGTACTTAGAAATAGACCCTCAATAGACTCTCAATAAATATTTGTTGAATATGGATCTGGTGTAAGTGAACTACAGCTAGGTTGACTTCTGAGACATCCCTTTCAGTTCTAATACTGTAGCACCCTCCACACGTTTTTCTACATGTAAAAAATAATATACATATCAGAAAGAATAAATGTGTCTTAGAGGTAGAGCATATACTTTTTATTATGGAAGACCCTAAAATCTTTAATTTTCCACTAACCTGTGGGCAACTGTGACTGTTTGGATTTTGTAACCTTGAACCTTCCCAAGATCCCAGACCATGGCAGTTTTTCAGTGCATATTGTTTGATGGATTCCTGCAAAATTTAAATGATGAGAATAACACTATCATGGAAAGGAGAAGATGATGGAATTCCCTGAGGGTACTCATAGCTCTTGGGCATGCATTTTCTTAGACAGATGTCTCCTTTGGGGACAGCATGCATGTGTACCCACATACAATACAGCAGGACAGCCTGCTTCCCACATCCTCTGCTCTTTTCCAGGCCATACCCTCACCTAGTCTAATGAGGTGTATTTACATGGAGCACTGCTGAAATACTATATTCTCAGGACATAGGAAACAGCGCTTATTCCTATATGACCCAAATGGGGCATTCCTAAAAGATAATTGCTGCATGCCCAGCATTTCTATCCATGAGAGGGTTAAGGAACCTGTCCTAGCCTATGTTCATATGGCTTTTCAAATTAAGTTCTCTCATTGGTTCAAAGGTACCAGTCAGGACACAGAGATACACTTGGATCTTTAAACGTTTCCTTTATTTAATTTTCCCTTAAATCTGAACAACATTTACAGGTCTCTTCTCTTTTTTCCTCCCAAAACATATTTAACATATGTCTGTTTCATTTAGATCCTAAGTTAAAGGAGAACCGTGTGCTCTAGCAATGATCTTTGTTGCCTCAGGGCTTAGTGAATTTAATCATTTATTTGGATCCACAGATAATTGCCTAGTCAATAAACTTTGATGTGGGAATGTAAATGATTGCATTTGAAGATTGCATTTGAAGAGTTTATAATTATGTCTAAATTTTAGGATTTCTGTGAATACTTTAAAATATATTCTGGAACAGAATTTTTTTTTTAACTTGCTACTTTACTCTCCTAATTAGCTTTCCATTGGAAAAATAGTGAATCCTGGATTACTTGAAACAGATTTTGCTTCTTCTCTACTTAGAGGATGATCTTAAGACTAGAAATGACAGGGCATGATTTAGATGGAACTGAAGCTCGAGAGATACACACATGGACAAGTTATGACCTAATATGCTAAAAATAATTGGTAACGTAACAGCTGCCTATTATGTTAAACAGGTCTTCTGGGGATGGTGATCAGTGGAAAAATGTCATTCTAAGTGGAGACCTCCTGAGCACAGGACAGAGCACAGGTAATGGTAACATTTATATCAATAATTGGGTGAGTCTGTATAAGGCATTTTTATCAAATTTGTGAATAATCATAATGATTACTATCAGTATAACTGCCACTATGCATTGAGTAATTTTATTCTAGGCTCTCTGATTTTATTTTCACAACCAAATGTTAAGCTAACCATTAGAGCCTCACCTGGCAGAGGCGTGATTTAAGAAGTTAATTTGTCTTTGGTCATTCATCTTAAATGTGATAGAGTCAGTATTAAATCTATGACTGTCTGATTTAGCCCATAATGTAGCCACTACTTTATGGTGGCTCTTCTAGGACTTACTCAAAATTAAAAATAAAAAAGGTAATAATAATAAGTAATAATTTGGAGTGCATGATGAACAACAACAAGAGTGAATTAAATTAAAATAAATATGAAGTCTACACTTTAAAAAAGTGGATTAAAAAATCCAAATGCAGTTTATAAGATAAAGAGATTTGACTTAGTGAAATTTCATGTGAAATTATGATGTGGCTTCCAAAAACTGACTTACATTAACAGTGTTTCTCCATGGGCCTGCTATTAGCATTTTGGGCAGGATAATTTTTCATCATGCAGAATGGTCTCTGGCAAGAGATTTAGCATCCGTGTCCCCACCCACTAATGCCAGTAGTACACCCAGGCAATGAGAGAATACCTCTTCACAAGAAACACCCTCTACACCTGCACTGCCTGGGTTGAGAATTGTTGAGTTAGTAAATATATACAGGTTAGAAAAGAGGACATTAAAGATAAACTGTAACTCGAACAAGTCAGAAACTATTGAGGCTATTTTCAAAACCATCTTTACTGTCAAAACAATATCCAGAAGATAACTGAGTCAAAATTGTTGGATTTTGTAAAAATCCCAGTGCTTATATAATACATTCCCCTCTTTGCCTAACTAGTTTCCATTGGATTTCAGTCACTTGCAGCTAACTAATGTGCTAACTAGTATGCTAACTAATCCTAAATGATATGCTAGCGCAAAGTCTCTAAGACTTGCGAACATGTCAGAAGTGCATAATGAATTAGGATTATTTAGCCTAAACAAAGTTGACAGAGGTCATGGTGTTTTCTAAAATTCGATAAACAAATATATCTGAGGATTTAGACTTGTTGTAATGGGCCACTGATGACAGAATTGAGACCAGTGTTTAGATGATGGAATAATTAGGAATGGACAAAAATAAAGGGGCTGTCTTGGGAGGTAGGCTCTCCTTTATTTTTCTATGTATTCAAGACGAGGCTAGTTTCTGAGATGGTGATTTGAATAAGAGGGAGGTTGGACTCTTGAGGTCTTATTCAATGCTTTTAGATCCTGCGATTCTGTATCTTTTGGGCATAAGGTCATTGCAGATTCACTTACTTTAACTTTTGATAAAATGTCCTCCTTTTCCTTCTGCTTTCTCTGAATACATATTAAGTAATACATTCTCCTCCAGACCTATTTTTAGGTGCACAAAAACTGCATAGATTTAGACAGAGATCAAAATATGCAAGCAGCACATCAGGGTCACCAGAGCTTTCTGCACCTGAAAAGAAGAAAAGAAAAATCCAAACACTTTATTAGCAACTGTACACTCTCCTTAGAACACACGCTTAGCCTGCTGTGTTCCCAACACTAAGTCTTCCCTCCTCCGGGGAGGCAGTCAAAGCCAAGCTCATCAGGCTGCAAAACATTCTGCGAAGGAACAAAGCATTCATGGTTAATGAACTGGTCCAGCAGGACTAGCCTGCTAATGGGAAACTGGTCCCCTCTCACACTCAGGTGAAAGATTTCCCCTGTCCTCTCAGCCCCCTACTTTTTCTTTTTAACAGAAGAAGGAAAACCTCTTTGATTACCATTAAGTTCTTATGAGGCCGTGAAAATCTCCTGCCAGAATCACTGTAATTCTGCGACACACAGAATTGGCCTGATTGTTCTGCGATCAGCAAGGCTTGCACAAGGTATAGTCACTTTTTCTCCATCTCCCTTGGCTGAGGGTGCATTTATTCCCTTAAAACTGTGTACACCTGAAAAAGGAACTAGAAGAAGACATCATGAAAGATTTGGCTTAATGAAATTTTTAGTATTTCATTTCTAGAATAAGTGCCTGTGTGGAAGAACTTGGATTTTAGGCCTCACTAGGAATAATTATCTATAAAAGCAGAGCAGCTCTGCTTGCCTCCCCATGAGAGGATCGTGCCTTTCTTCTGCTGTGTAATTAATCTCCCCCTGTTTGCCTATTGCCATCTCTCCTTTTGGCTGCCCTCTGACTAACTTTTCTAATGGAAATCCCATATGCTGTACTCTAGAGCTTCTGCTCTTCCCTGTATTACACAATCCCTTACGATACTTTGCCTTTCGGTACTATTTCTATTGTAATTTTACCTGTAGGCAGGATATCTCAATTCTGTATCACCCTGTTGATCTTTATAAAGCTCTGTATTTCTTGCTTTCTTTTTAACTTTTCCCTGGGGTGTCCCTGCACAATCTAATGAAATGTTATCTGTCTTCAACAAGCTCACTTCCTTTCCAGTAGAACCACAAATTGCACCTCCGTCAGAATCAGGACCTCAGGTTCAGTTCACTTTTTCCAGACTTTGGCACCTCCAGTGCACCATAATTCACCTCTCTAAGAAACAGACCACATACATCCTTCCAGCAGAATGTTGTTTTTTTAAATAGGTTTTTATTTTTTTATTTTTTTAATTTATTTTTTAAAAAATGGGGGGGTAATTAGGTTGGTTTATTTATTTATTTTTATATATCTTTTTATTTAAGTATACTTAGTCTACAATGTTATATCAATTTCTGGTGTACAGCATAATGCTTCAGTCATACATGAACAGACATATATTTGTTTTCACATTCTTTTTCATCATAAGTTACTACAAGATACTGAATATAGTTCTCTGTTCTATACAGTATGAACTTGTTGTTTATCTATTTTATATGTATATTTTATATAGTATCTGCAAATCTGAAACTCCCAATTTATCCCTTCCCAGCCCCTTCCCCTCCGGTAACCATAAGTTTGTTTTCTATGTCTTTGTGTCTGCTTCTGTTTTGTAAGTAAGCTTGTTTATCTTTTTTCTTTAGATTCCACATGTAAGTGATATCATATGGTATTTTTATTTCTCTTTCTGTCCTACTTAGAATGACAATCTCCAGGTCCATTCATGTTTCTGTAAATGG